TTCTACGTGCATGCTGCTCAAGAAGCTGAGCCCCTCACCTGGGGGGGGACCACCCCACGGGCTGGGGGTGTCATCCTGCCTTTCACCACTTCAAGCAAAACCTGGGGTTCTTTTAAAATGATTCACAAATTGCCTTCAACCAAGTTTTTCCTTATTCCCAAGTCCCTGGCCTTCATTTCTTCCAAGTTTTCTCCAAGTGAGCAGCTTCTCTCTTAAGTCTGCACTAACAAAGTACAGGAACACTCTGAGAAATGGAAGGGACCCTAGAATCCTAGACCTAAAGCCAGAAGGGACCTAGGGGCCATCTAATCCAACCTCTCATTTTACAGGGAAGGAAACTGAGGCACAGAGAAGTTACCATGATCGCCCAAGGTCAAGAGGAGAGTAAACAGCAGAGCCAGGATTTAAATTCAGGACTTTTGACTCCAAGGTCTACAGCTTTTCCACTGCACCTCAGTGCCTTTCTCTCTCTTAGAGACAAGTGACTCCAATTGCCCATTTTATAGATGAAGAAACTGAGGCCAAGGGACCCGATGGGCTCCCAGCGTCACAGAACTCTTCAGTCAGATGAGGTATTTTCTAGGTCCTGCTCGACACTGTATTTCATTGGGAGACATTGAGTCAAGTTCTTAATTATAAACATTCCTGAGCATTTTGGGGAATGAGGGGGGCAGTCTTTTAATTTTGTACACCACCCTCACCAAGTGGGGCTGGGCCATGACCCTGACATATTTTTGGGCGAGGCAATGAGGTTCAGTGACTAGCCCAGGGTCACACAGCTAGTAAGTATCAAGTGTCTGAGGCCACATTTGAACTCAGATCTTCCTGAATCCAGGGCCATGCTCTAGCCACTGCACCACCTAGTGGCCCTGAATCCTGACACTTCTAAAGCCACCCATTCCTACTTTCCAATGGGAAATGAGTTGGAGGTTTGGAATAAAGTGGCCCCTGAGTGACAAAAAGCATCCCCCTCCTCACAGCTTACTTCACAGGCCTTAAGCCCTGAGAGCTTACCTGGTTTAAGCACTTCAGAAGAGGAAGGCCCAGAGAGGGTGGATGCTTAGCCCAACGTCACACAAGGAGTAGGGTCTAGCTCTCAGAAAAGCATCTTATTCTTCAATGCATTCTCTGACCCTGAGAAAAAGGTCTAAAGGAACATCAGTCCTCATGAATGGAAGTTCCTCAGACGCCTCCTGAAGGACCTGGGCTACACACAGTCAGCTCTGCCTCAGCTGTGGCATCGTGGGGGGGAGTCCCGGCTTGGGCCTGGCCCAGTTTCAAAGGGCAGGGCTTTGTTTCTCCTTCTTCAGATCTGTCTTGAATTACTCAATGGAGCATAAGGAAGAAGTACAAATGAAGGGCGTCTTCTTGCTACGTGCCGGTGTCTTGAAGTCTGTTTCTAAATGTGTGTTCCTACAAAGTTGTGATTTCTTCTGTTTGTTTATTTGGATTCTGACAAGTCTCCTGCTGAAATATCTGGCTGTGTCCAGCCTGGAGTGTGCCAATGTAAATACACATGTACATTTGTATTTGGAATAAGCATGTGCCTTTCTGAGACCACATTTTCTTAAGAGAAGATTACTCTAGAAAAAGGCCTCTTATCCTGTCTGATCTGGGGCTTGCAGGGACCCACCCTCCAGCTTCTAAAGGAAGGACAGACAAGAAAGAACACCCCTAGCTCTCCTCCCCTTCTCTGGATGAATGTTTTGTTCTTTGGCTCTCAAACTGCGCCTTCTCAAAAATGCCACTGGGCACTACCTCTGCCTCGGGCCCTTTCTGATAAAACCATGAAGACAATCACTCGCCCCCAAAGAGTGAAACACACAAATGGGAATGCTCAGAATACTGCAAGAATTGTCCCGTGGGCCCAGGGAGCAGGAAGAGCTCAGGGAGAGAAGTGGTGAACTGATGATGGGCTCATAGATGCTGGATTGAGAATGTCAGTACATGCCCTATTCTCATGTTAAAACGGAACGGATTAGACACTTCAGAGAAGATAATTCAGTCTTTGTCAGGTGCATCAAAAGCTGAGCAGATCTATAAATGGACCAGTCCAGAGGCAAAGGATAACGTGGGTAGGATCTCAACGTGGCATTTTCAGAGGTTTGGTCCATAATGTTCAGCTCTGAGTGCACAAACATCAGCCTCCGTGCCCCCCACCCCGCTTCTTTGTAAGGGCTGTTTAAACATTTGTCTTTGCATACCCAGGCACCAGGCCTGGCATGGGATAGGTGCTTAATAAATGACTGGCTGTCTCATGTCCCTGACTTTTCCAGGCAGTGGCATATGAGGCTCTTTCTGTACGTCTGCAGCAACAGCTTCCCCCAACCTTGCTGCCCCTCTCTTCCCATCCCGAAATAATAACAAGTCCATAGGCTCCTTTTCTCACTAAGAGTCAAAGGGCTTCATGAGACGCAAGCCAGGGAATTTTCGGAAGTCCAAAACATTGGATTCTGGGCCAATCTGATAACCAAAAAACAAAAGCTAAGACAGCCAGGGGCTCTTTGGGCCGAGCAAGGCTTAACAGGAGCCCATCAGCCATCAGCAAAGATCAGTTCATTCTCTTCCTTGGTACCCCCGGCAGCACGCATGGTGCCTAACACATAAGCAGGTGTCAGATAAACACGTGTGGACGGATTGATCCTCATCCTGGGCTAAGAACGGTGGGAAGAAAGCCTGAGTCTCCAGCATTTAACTTCAGAGAGGGGGAAGAGCTTTTGCAAGGGAAAGCAACTACCCAAGAGGCCAAACAGTCAAATACAAGCGAGTTGGGCCAACATCTGCTGGCTCGGCAGTGACACACTCTAAACTCAAAGCCTGACAGAATCAGCTGGTCATTTATTTGTGAAAGTTGAATTCTAGGCGCTCGACAGTTGGTCTAGGTGCCTACACGCAGTCTTTGTCTCCTGCACCAGAGATCTGGTGATTTCTTGGTTTGCATTCTGACTGTTCATCCCCCCCCCCCCCCCCCCCTGGTTTTTCCCCACACTCCCCCCACCCCCAAGCATATTGGTTTTTCCCAACACTCCCCCCGCCCCCAAGCACATTGGCTTTTCCCAACACTCCCCCTGCCCCCAGGCATATTGGTTTTTCCCAACACTCACCTGCAAACTGCTGTTGAGTAAGTCAAAGTCGCTGTATCTTCTCACAATCTGCAGGAGACAAGACCGTGATATTTTCAGTCAGCAGGTATCAACCATCTCTCTCCAAGCCCACAAGAAAATTAAGTCACTTGACAAACATTTGTTGAGCAACTACTATGGATGGAACATAGTACTAGTCACCTTGGGGAACATTTTTCAATTACACAATTGATGAGGATCATCTAGCTCAACCCCTCCATTTTACAAATGAGGAAACTGAGGGCCTAGAACAATGAAATCATTGCCCATAAGATGTCAGGGCCAAAAGAGGCTTTGAAGGCCACGTTAGGAAAGGTACCCTGATCTGGAGGGCTGATGCCACGGGTGAGGAGACATACAGACACCCATCCCATATGACTGGATCAAGGCACTAGGAGACGAGGGGTCCAGTGAAGGAGGCAGGCAAAGACCTGAGTCTGATGAGGATGTTCAGAGGAAGCAGCCAGAAGCGGAAGACTAATAGCCTAACGAGGCTTCCTGGAGAGGAAGGGAAGACGGGGGAGAAACCCCAAGTGAGCAATGAGCCACAGCCGAGCAGTGGCATCTAGACTCCTTGAGGACCAGACAGTTTTCTGTGTCCTCCCATCCTCCACATTCCCAGAACCCAGCACCTGGCCCTGCACATAGGAGGTGCATTCAGGTGCCTGTTAAAAAGACACAGGGAGGAGATGCGCCTGGCATGTCTGGGGAGGCTGGAGGCAGAGTCCGGGGTCTCGCTCGGGATTGTATCTGCTAGGACACGGGAAGACGTCAAAGGCTCGGGTGGGAAGGGGCAAGCAGGCAGATGAGTTCGAGGAAGGTCTAATAACCAGGCAGGAGACAAGGGCCTCAATGAAGGTGGTGACCTATCAAATCAAAAGGAAGCCACGACCTTGGACTAGGATCCAGTGAGAATGTGACGGATGGACGTGGCCAAGTAGGGTGGGAAATGCTGTTCCTGGTCTGAGTCAGGGCCCTTGGTGCAAATCCTGACCCAGCCTTTGAATCACTGTGGGACCCTGGGTAGGTCCCTTCACCTAAGTCTCAGTCTCCTCATTTATATATATCCTGGACAAATAGGAATTACTATCATCATCTGAGGAAGCAGGTTTTGGTGACTGGAGGAATGACTGATTACGTTGACAGAAATGTGACCCACAAGGAAAAAAATAGGAAGAAATCAAAAAGATTCGTAGTAAGTGATGCCAAGGTGCAGCACCGGGAGAACAAAATACACCCTTAGGTTAGGCAGCTCAGGGGTACAGTGGATACAGCCCTGGACCTGAGTTCAAATCCAGTTTACACTGGATACTTCCTAGCTGTATGAACCTGGGCAAGTCATTTCACCCCTGTTTGCTTCTGTTTCCTCACCTGTAAAATGGGGATAATAATAACACCTACCTCCCAGAGTTGCTGTGAAGATGAAATGAGACGATATTTGTAAAATGTTTCACAAGCCTTACAATTCTCTAAAAGGCCAGCTCTGGTTATTATCATTATCATCGTATAAATGACGATAATGGTGACAACCTCCAGATTAAGTGCATGAACAAGACTGGCACTGAGGGGTTAAAGTTCAAATGCCCGGCCTTTCTCTCTGAACAAATGGCCGGGCCCACTGGGGTCAGATGGCACCAAGTCACTGCTCACTCTTCGGGAATTTCTGTAACTTTTTCAAAAACTCTGAATGAAGCATCTGTGCCCACAGTCTTGCGGGGGAGTCTATTTGTGGGTCTGCTGTGGTTTCTGTTCTTTTTTTAGGCTGAAACCATGATTTTGCGGAGATGGGAACTTCTGATGAGGAAAGAGGCTCTCCCAAAGCAGAGCAGGTGCTGGCCTGCACCTCACAGTCTCGGGAAGCTACGTGGCCCCCAGGGGCTGGTGCCCAGCACGCTGAAACAAAATGTCTCAACAAAAATGAGACAGAAGGGATCGGTGGCCCGTGGGCTCAGGACGACTGGAGTTTGGGTGACGACACCGAGCAACACAGATCTGGGAGTCACCCAAATGCACGGAGGTGACGCTTAGAGCCGTGAAAGTGGCTGAATCCTTCCAAGGAAAGGGAAGTAGAAGACCGAGGCCTGACGCCGGGGAGATGCCGACAGGAAGGGGAAGGAAGACCAGCAGTGAGACAAGAAACAACAGTCAGAGAGGCAGGAAGGGTAAAGGCTCCTCAGACGCCACGGAGTCCAAGCTTTCACTCTGGCACAGAATGGTTAAGGGTTTGGCCAAGGTCACACAGCTAGCACGTGGCCAGGGCAGGGCAGAACGCTAACTCACGTCTTCCTGACTCCAAATCCAGTGTTCTATCCGCGGTACCACCTCCCTGCTGGAGCAGCATAGGGTCCCAAAGGCCCAAGAAGGAGAAGACATCAAGAAAGGGGTGGTCAGCAGCGTCAAATGCAGCAGAGATGGGCGAAGGCCACCAGACTGATCACTGATAACCTTCAGGAGGAAGACGTCGGAACATGGGGAGAATGGAAGCTGGAGGGGGGCTGGGTCAGAAATGGGGGGAGAGAAGGAGGAGAGATGGGAATGAGGAGGGATAACACAGTCAAATAAAAATTCGGTTTTGTTTTCAAATGGGTAAACGAATGCGTGAAAAGCACTTTGTGAGCACCTGCTGAGTGCCAAGCGCTGCGCTAAGTGCTGGAAGATAGAAAAGGGACACCCTCCTTGTCCTCCGGGAACGTCCATTCTACTAGGGAGTGAGAACAGACCTGGGGAGGTGTGGGCTCACAAGGAGGCCAGAGATGCCAGGCACAGAGAGGAAGGCGAGGAAGGCCAACAGGGCTCTAAGTCAAACTTTCCCTATGATTAAAAAAAAAAACTTTTACTACAACCCACAATTGTCAGCTTCTCTTTTCTTATAAGTGGTTTCTCCTGCTCCCCGTCCCTCCCTCACGCACAGATATTGGAGTCTCTGACAATTAGAAGAAAATCGTCTTTGATAATACTGCAGTTGGCGGCTTCTCTAGCACACGGTACTGGTACTAAGTGCAAAGCGTCCTCCCTGAGGCAGGTTGGCCTGACTCACTATCCCTACTTCCCCGCTAAGGAAACAGACCGAGGGAAGCTAAGGCCCGGGCCAAGTTCACACCGCAGCAAAGGCAGGAGGAGGAAGGCCGAGGGAGCCTGACTCCCGTCTGCTTTCTACTCTCCAGAACAAAAAAGGAAACAGTCTCTCTCAGATCCCTCTCTGGCAAGCCAGAGATGGCAGAGGCACTCTCTCCGTCTCTCTGTCTCTCCCTCTCCCTGTCTCTCCCTCTCCCCAACCCTTTTCTCTCTCTTTCTCAATCTCTCCCCTCTCTTCTCTCCTCAATCTCTCCTCCTCCTCCTCCTCCTCGCTCTTCTCCTCTGTTTCTCTGTCTCTCTCTCTCTGTCTCCTTCTCGCTCTTCTCCTCTGTTTCTCTCTCCCTGTCTCCCTCTCTCCCTGTCTCCCTCTCTCTCGTCTCCCTCTCTCTCTCTGTGTCTCCTCCTCCTCCTTCTCCTCTGTTTCTCTGTCTCCCTCTCTCTCCTCTCCTTCTCTCTCTCTCTCTCTTTCTCCTCGCTCTTCTCCTCTGTTTCTCTGTCTCTGTCTCCCTCTCTCTCTCCCTGTCTCTCTCTCTGTCTCCCTCTCCCCTCTCTCACCATGACAGCGGAGGTGGGACCCAGCACACAGCCAAAACAGCCAGTGGTTATGAGGGAGCAGAGAATCACAACAGACTAGAGGTAGCAGGAGCCTTGGATGGCAATGTTCCCAATTTAGGCCCAAGGAAACTTAAGCTCTCAGAAAAGATGATGAAAATCCAAGAGGAAGCCATGGACTTTGGAAAGAAATGGTGGCCACTCCTTAGGCCTTGCCCAACTAGAGGCTGCTGGGAATGCAGTAGCTCTCTGTGAACATCTATTATCTTTTCTCAGGCCAACAAGCAGGCCTGAATGACTGAAAAAAAGGAAGCAACCTGGGGGGAAAGAGAATAGAGAGCTGCCATTCTCTGTCCATTCTCTGTTCTAGAGGAGGAACTCCTAGATAATGATCTGTGTGGTGGGCACAAATTCCACCAGCCTGCCCCATCCTCCTCCCCTCAAAAAAACAACCCAGGAACACAACTACACAGCTCCAACACACATCACCCCCCTCCCTGCCCCCTAGCCCTGGGAGGAATCAATACTCAAGAGTTCACTGTTTGGAATTTTTTCATGGTCCCCAAACCACAGTCAGTGGTTGGGTCTTTCTTCAAGTTGAAATATTTTTCAGTTATGAAAAAATTACCTGCCAGCTGTTTTCTATGGAAATTCCTCTTTGCACACGAATGATATACTCCTGAAAAAGAAGCAGGAAAAAACCTTAATTAAAAAAAAATCACCCAAGTAACTGATTCACAATGAAACAAGCCCAGAAAAGCTCAAAGCTGAAATTGGGGGCAACGGGGAATAGGGAGGAGAGTGAGCTTTTTATGGGCCACAGAGAGATGTGTCTACAGTGTCCATGGTATTCCGATGCCTGCGTGTATCCTCTAATCAAATAAGAAAGACCAGAATTAAGAAACAAACAGAATGATTTCTGACATTAATAGCATCGGTTTTGGGTGAGATTAACACAGACTTCATGGTGATCTCATTGACTCCCAGAGGTTTAATTATCACTTCTATGGACACGATGCCCAAACCTACGTAACCACCTTACCTCTCCAGTCCTGAGGGCCATTTCCACCTGAACATTCCACGGATACTGAAAATTTAACCCAACATGTCCAAGACTGAACTCACTGTCTTTTCCTCTAAAATTCCCCCCCCCCCCCCCCCCCCAACCTCCCTTTTTTTTTCTGTCAAAAACACCATTGTCCTCACACCCAGCCGACTCCATGACCCAAGAATCCTTCTGGAAACTTCCCTTTCCTTTATCTGCCCTGCCCCTCACCATCTAATCAGTTACCAAGTCTCTTGTGTCTCCCACGCTCAGCAAAGCGCCATCTTCCACAACACAGAACAAAGGTACTTGATAAACGTCTCCAGAACCAAACTGAGTATTTCTAAGACCCTAGGAGTAATGCCCTATAATAGCATGCATCCAAGTCAATTGAAGAACTCTAAAATTTCCATCTTAATAACATCTCTTATCAGTATTTCAGCAACAGGAACAACAAATAATTGTAATGTTGCTCAGACATCAGTATCATTTTTACTTGATTTTATTTCTGGGTAAGGAAAGAGCAGTCTAGTTCTATGATGTCCTCTTTGGGACAGTGTAGAAGCCCCTTTTTACCAATGTAGATCAGCAACTCCCAATCTTGGGAGAGCTGAGCTGCCAGAAGGAAGAGAGGAAGGGAGTGGGGAGAAAAAAGAAAGCAGGAAGGAAAAAAGGAAGGGAGGGAGGGAGAGGAAGAAAAGCAAATAGGAAGAAAGGAAAGGAAGGAAGGGGGGAAAGGAGGGAGGAAGCAAAAAAGGGAGGGAGAGAGGACAGAAAAGAAAGTAGGAAGAAAGGAAAAGAAGGGAGGGAGAGGAAGGAAAGGGAGGGGGGGGGGGAAGGAAGGAAAGGAAGGAAAGAGTGAAGGAAAAAGAAGGAAGGAGGGAAGGAAGAAGAGAAGGAGGGAAAGAGGGAAGGAAGGAAAGATAGAAAAATGGAAGGAAGGAAGGATTAATTCAGTGTCTACTATATGCCAGGCACTGCTAAGTAAGCATTTTACAATTATTATCTCATTTAATTCTCATAACCCTGGGAGGTCAGTAACATTATTATCCCCATTTTACAGTTGAGGAACCTGTCCAGGGTCACCCAGGTGGTATTTGTTAGAGTTAGGACTTGCAGGGGAACCCAGTCTTCTGGACTCCAGGCTGGCAGGCCCCACTACCTGCTCTGCTCCCCTGCCTCTCTCGTGCTTTAAACTGAATTAAGGTATACAAAAGAGAACCAGGAACTTGGTAGATAGCATTTCCTTCCCAGTTCCATCCTCATGTCCTTTACTCATTTAGCAAATTCGACAGTAAGCAGAGACCCTCTCTGCCATCCAGTTGCCTCATGCACAGAGCCCAGTGGCATTTTCCTTTACTACACAAGCTGTAACTCACCTGAGATATAGTTTCATTTGAGGTTGGATGGTAATACTACAGGGCAGAGCAGAGTGTGATGGGAAAACTCCATAAATTCAATTCCAGCATTTATTAAGCACCTATTCAGGGCAATTCAACGTCCAGGTGATAGGGTTTGAAAGAGGCCTGGTTTCCTATCTGTAAAAGTGAGGTGGTTGGACTTAATGATCTCTATGGTCCCTTTCAGATCTACATCTAGATTTGCATGACAGGAGTCAGTTACAGACCATTCCCTCAAGGAGCTTATAATCTACTAGGGTAAATGGGCAGGGAACTGTTATACAAGATATACAAGCACACTGTTGTTTCTGGTGTTGTACAGTTGTTTCAGTCCTGTCCAACTCTTCATGACCCCATTTTCTTGGGTTTTCTTGGCAAAGATACTAGAGTGGTTGCCATTTCTTTCTCCAGTTCATTTTACAGATGAGGAACTGAGGCCAACAGGGTTAGGAAGTGTCTGGGGCTGGATGTGAACGCAAGCTTTCCTAACTCCAGGACCAGTGCCACTTGGCTGTCCCATATAAACCCACAGGAGAGGTCTAAATAGAATGGAATGAGATAATCAAGGAGGGGGAAATTGAAGACAGTCGGCTTGGAAGCCAAAGTTCTTCATACAGAGACTCTAAAGGTAACTAGTCCTCTGCTGCAGAATGGTCCCTTCTGGGGCTGATTCTGACAGGTGTGTATTTCTCATGGCATAAGAACTGGAGATCTGTGGTTTACTTATTCATAATAAGGAATCCCTAATGACATCAGCTCAGGGTCCCAGAGAATTGTCTGGGGCACTCTCTTGGTCAGGGGGTAATGGCCAGTAGGGTGGGGGGAGGGGGGGACCTGAAAGCAGATCTTCCAGGCTCTAGGGCCTTCTCTTCACTGTAGCCTGACACTGACAATTTCATGGAAACTGGCCCATTTGGTTGTAAGAACCATCTGTTTTCTTATCTCTGACATGGGGAACAATGTTCCTGCTCACGCACTTCTGGCATTCCTGACTTCCCAAGAGTTACAAAAAAGGCTATATTATTGTTACATAAAGTGGCCTGGCCAGAGCTCCCAGAAGCTGGGTCCTAAGTACAGAGGGACAGCTGCTAGTCTAACAACATAGATAACCCTGGGCCCGGCCAGGAGTATTAGGCAGGGAGAGCACTCGGTGTGGGCTGGGCCATGTGGGCAGAGAGGACTTTACTCAGGCTACAAAGTAACCCAAGGCCAAGTGCCTGAGAAGTGGGGCTGCTCCAAAGAGATGGAGCCATCCTTCCTAGAACACATTGTGAAATCTGTACTAGGTATGGGCCAGTCCCAGGAGCTGGCAGGCCCCCCAGGTCCCACCTCTGACACTGGGCAAGTCACTTCAACTCTGAGGGCTCCAGGCAACTCCCTCCGAGCAGTCTTGGCAGTCTTGGTAGAACGGTGGGCAAGCCACATCTGGTACAGGAAGTTCTCTAAGAGCTCCCTGCCCCCCACGAATCACAGATTCTGACCAAATGAAAACTGGGTGTGGCATACCTGGAAGAATTTCAGAGAGGAGGAAGGGAGTTCATTTAGTGTCACTGTACCCAATCAATATTTATTAATTATTAGCCCAATCTCAACAGCACAACCAATACTATCAATAGCATTAATAAGCAATGATGAATTATTAGATGAATTATTAATTGGTTTATCAGCCTACTGTGTGCGAGGCCGTGTATGAGGTACAGGGCATACAAGGACAAAGAATGAAACTCAAACATTTGATTCTGACCTACACACTAGAAGTGCAAAGGAGTATGGATTTAGACCAGGAAAAAACCTTAGGAGAGTCCAAATCTTTTGGTTTTACAGATGAGGAAACTAAGGCCCAGAGTGGGAAGGTAACTCCCTAACCTTGATGCTAAATGTCAGAATTGAGACAGCTCAATACTGGGGACAGGGTTCAAAGGCTTGGGTTCAAATCCTGCCACAGTCCTTTGCTACCTGCGTGGCAAAGGACAAGTTACTTAATCCTTCTCAACCTCAAATGTCTCCAAATCTGTAAAATGGAAATAATGATACCAGTAAATACCCATCTCCTAGGGTGGGCTGGTGTGAGGTTCCCACGAGATAATCTAAGTAGCACTCACATAAGTACTAGTTTATTCTTCTAGTTAACTCATTCCCATCTTTTCCCATGATTTCCAGGTAGATCAAGCCCTGAGACGACTCACTGTCCTGCTATTACCTGATTATCCCAAAGGTTTTGTGGCTGCTGCCCAGCTGGGTGAAATAGCTGCTTTTTGCATTCAAATAAAAGTATTAGGATATTCACTGATCCGCTGTAGGGACACTGAAAGCATCTTAGAACTTGTGCTATATAATTACGGTTGGAGATTACTGTGCTCTAAGAAACGATGAGCAGCGTGCTTCTTAACAAGAATCCTCTTGAATTTCTGTAACAATGATATAGTTACATAATAATAACATAACCCTAAGGCTACATGAGAGCTTAGCTAGGATCCTCATTTGGAAGAAAGAGGAGAATGTGAAATACTTTAAAACTTCATAACATGCGTTCGGTGGGCAGCTAGATGCACTGCAGTGCATAGAGCACCAGGCCTGGAGTCAGGAAGACTCATCTTTTTGAGTTCTGATCTGACCCCTGATACTTACTAGCTGTGTGACCCTGGGCAAGTCACTTCACCCTGTTTGCCTCAGTTTTTCCATCTGTAAAATGAACTGGAGAAGGAAATGGCAAACCAGTCCACTATTTTTGCCAAGAAAACCTCAAACGGGGTCACGAAGAGTCAGACTCAACTGAAACAAGTGAACAGTATGCTTTCACCTCTAACAGATGCCAAAACAGGGACCCTTAATGGAGTGAGCCCCCAGTTTATTCCTATACACATCTGTGACAAAAGTGGCAGTGAGTGGACAGGCTGAGGCATCCCAGAAGGGCTCAGGGCTCTAAGAGGAAGAAGGGTTGGCAAGTATAATCATTCGGAGGACTGCTCAGAACTATGTGCTGGGTTTGCTGCAGTGTCTGAATCGGGACGTCAGCAGAAAGCTGCTAATTGCCCATCAGAGACAGCGGGGCAAGTTGATGCTCTCTGGACTGCTGTAAGTAAACGAGACTCCCCTCTAGAGCCCCAAGGTGGAGCCCAGTGGGTGTGGCCAAGCATGCCAAGAGACAGCTGATGAAAAGCCCCCCAGAACACAGGCTCTCACTGCCCTCAAGTGAGGAGGGCATGAAGATCTGCAAAGTCCTGAAGAGAGTGCAGGATGCGAGTCTTGCTGCCATGACCACGTAACTCCTGTGTTCCTAGGAGAGAAGGCAAGAGGGATGGAGAGACGAACATGCCCTCCAGGACATCAGAGAAATGAAATATTCTTTGAAAAGAAAAATGGATGAAGTATTTCAAGGTAAAAACAAAGAAGAGGAGTAGCAGGAAAGCCTGGCCTGAAGGCAGGAGCCTCAAGGATGGTGAGACTAAGAAGGATGACTGAATACTTGGAGCCACATAACAGGCTCCTCTGAAGAGGGGGCAGCTGCTTGGGCTGTGGGATAGGATGAGACAGACACAGCAAGGGGGAGGGAGGCAGTGAGGATGAGAGGGAGCCTGGGCTATTGGTAACTGATGACTTGCAGCTGATGTGCAGCAACAAACTTAATTTAAAAAAAGACATCAAGAGAAGATGGAAACAGCCCACACGTACAAAAATATAGCAGCTCTT